GGCCAGTTAAGAATTAATATAGATGGTAGATGTTTCATCATTCTATTCATTGTTTTGAGCAAAATAGAATTTTCATGTTTTTTTAGTTTTCCTATTCATGTCAGCAGAGATAAGGAAGAAACGAATAACTAAAATTCGATATCATTAATAAGTTTCACTCATATGTTTCATAAGGCTCGGGCTCGTTTTGATTTGGTTTTAGTATTTTTCGAATAGACAAAGTTGGACAGACATAGAAGATAAGTGTTTAAAAATAACATCTAAATTATCATTCAAAATTTTATCGTACTCAACTGATATACTTATTAAGAGAGTAGATTATTAGTAAAAGTGTTACGATAATTTTATCAAATTTGTTTTTCACTATTTTTGATCACACATATTTTTATCTTAACTATTTAAAAAAAACAACGTCTGAAGCTTTTTTTAGCTTTAGACTTATCAAAGAACATGAGAATAAAAATAACTCACAATGAGTGTACGACTAATGTTTTTCTCATCCTTAAAAACAATTTGATGAATATATTTTAGCATATTTTCTAATTACGTACTTTTTTAATAATGATGTCAATTAAATATAGTCAATTTTGGAGGATAGTTCACATGTTACAAATATATTTTTTCCATGTCTATCCAGTTTTATATATTTGACACAATAGAAAAAAAGTCAAAATGGTCCAAAATCTTTAAAACAATTATTATATTTATGTTACTTTTACAGAACGTACAATAGTTAGATGAACTTCTTAAACGCAGAATAATTTTTATCGTTTATCTTTACATGTTAATAAACGTTCGATTTCTGAAGTGACTTATGTTTCTATGGAGAACAGTCACATATTCCACAGATCTGGGTTACTGGAAATATAATTTAAATGGATTCTTATAAGAATTCAACTTTGTTACAAGATGGTAACAACCCAGTCAGATGATACTATTAAAAAACAAACGCGTCAAAATTTCTATAATACGTTAAAATGCGTAAGCATTTTTTAGATTTAAGGATTTTTATCTGTTTTCAGCGCAAATTTCACGATTGTTACCGTGTTTGAAAGGTTAAAACGCAAATTAATGCAGAAATATTCGTTAAGAGAACACATCTCATATGAAAAGTATTTTTTATAGACTACTCTGCTTTTTTTTATCAGAATGACAAATTCATTTTGTAACAATCATTAAAAAAATAGGATATTCTTAAAGACATACGACTACTTTTTTCTCTTTCTATATGTAGAGTTGATGCGTGTTTCTATTATGTATTTGTTTACTTTGTTTATTTATATTATTTTTCTCAAGGTTCAAAATGTGATTTTGATCTATTTGCAATGTAGCATAGTTATCGTTATATTCTTCCTTTCATTCTTATCATATTAAGAATCTATTGCTGATATATTTGACGATCAACTTTTCTTAGAGCTACCGAAAATTATTGTTGTTTTCATTTCGGTATCAATAAACATTTTTGAATTCTGAAGATTTAACAGTGTTAGAAGAAAAAAAACAAATCTAACATTGATAAAATAGAAAATTAACTACGTTTGTTTTTTTTATCACCTTACAAATGAATAAAGGGTGCTAACTGAATAGAATCGATTGAATTATATAAGAGTATGTTTTTCCTTCGTCTATTAATGGTAAGATATCTTTCTATTTATCGTGATGATGATGGGAGAAATTTTTGTGTGTCTCACTACATCCGCTGATTTTGCTCAGAGGCAGACGCATAAATAGATTATGAATCAAAGCCTGAGACAGTCATATGATTTGTTAACTTTTTTCTCGCAATGAATGAATACATTAAAATTCTAAATTCTTTTCCATGAGTTTTCTTTTGTTTAATCTCAAGTGACAGTATGCATTGAGTTGTGATGAGTCCTTATTTCTTTAGAATAATTTACTATATTGACTATTTAAAGTTTGTAAACAGTTTATTTTAACAGCTCCATCGTTTATTTATATGTTGGAATGTGTATGTTTTTCTTCAGTTCTATTTTGTTCATCTCCATATTATTTCTGTAAATATTCTCATTTGTTTCAGTGAACCATTCATTCAAACATTTATTCTGTATATCGTAGTGTCACTTTTCCCTTTCACTCATAGTGCGTAATAACCGTTTTTTTTCTGAAGCAACTTATTGTCAGCAAGAATTAATATGGATGATAGATATTTCATCTTTCTATTTATTGTCTAGATCAAAATGGGTTTTTTTATGTTTTTCTACTCACATCAATAGAGATGAGAAAGAAGCGAATAGCTATATTTCATAAGTTTCGAGGACATTTTGATTTCGTTCTTGTATTTGTCAACTATGCCAAGTAGAACAGACATGCAAAAATATATCTTTCAATGTCATATCTAAGTTATAGTTCAAAATTTATCGTACTCAACTGATATTTTTAGCAAGAGGGTAAATTATTTTATCGGTACAATCTTATGTGTGGATATTCAAATATAGATGTAGCTGTGGAGGTAAAAGAACCGAAACTGAAGCCCGCATTCGCACAGTCAAAACCGAAACCACAGTTACAACACTCCCACGTCTACTCTACCCCTGCCGACATTCACTCTTACCTCTTACTTATACCCGCCTCCTACCTCACTATTCACTGACCCTCAGCCTCACCTGCTCTCATATCCTTCCAAGAGTTTTGTGAATGAAATTGCATTATTGAGAGTTCGCCGAGTTCAAAACTTACGGAATCCAGTCACTGCTATTTTTTTCTGCTTTTCGTATTCAGTTAGCAGCGCATCCCACGTATTTCTCACACGAACAGAGCCCATCCGATCCAATGTTTTTCAATCGGGATCTGATTAACGGAAAATTTTCAGACTCGGACTCGACTAGGTTTGAGTACGGCCCAACCGGATCAGCTCTAACATGAGGTGCGGATGTGGTCATTCATTTTATCCACACCTTCTATGATCCTTTAATTTAGTGAAATACACATCTTAAAATGTGCATAGTAGTTTTCGGTCTCAGGTTTTCATATCTCCTCTTTCTTTTCTCCTTCTTACAGATAAACGCATCGTAGAAGTAGTTGCTACGTTGATTACTATTGAATAGACAAATAAATATCTGATTATCATTTAATAATTTTCTTTGCACTTGCCCTAGTCTTTAAATTACTCTTTGTGAAACAAAATATCTATATCTACTAATGTATTAGCGCTTATGAAGTAAGTGAGCTTCAAACTTTAACCACTAAGAGCTGTGCTCACATCCTTTTCTGTAGGTTTATGTTCAATAAGATATTCTATCGATAGATGAAAACTATACATCTTTAGTGTGTCGTTTCTTCTAGTTATTCGCACAAAATTCAGTCACATCTATTTATTTTTGAGGCCCACAATAATTTTGTTGAGAACATCGAAGAACAACAAACATTTTTGTGATAATCCTTTGGAGACTCGATCAAGTTATTTATGCTTTCGATACAGCAATACAAAGGATTAACAACGGGGTGTGAGAACGAATTCCGGCTACGTTATCAAGTTTTATACTATATCCAGGTTTACAATAATACAGCCGATTTATAGTGTTTTCATTCGAGTCCCCAAGTTTTAAAAGACAAAGATATTCCGAAATTCTGTAAATGATATTAAGTTCCTTTGATCATTATTGATTCTAGTTTTTTTAAACTATCTTTTGTATTGATTGTTTTTCTTTGGATCAATGATATTTCGATTCATGCATATAAATCTCATTAGTGAACATGACTCGCTTTCGCGGACTTCTGCGTGAATCAATGTTATAATTACTTCGTCCGAAAGTTCAAACATTACCGAATATCGAAAAGCAAAGTAACGAAATATTGTCTCCAATTTTGATATTTTACTCTTATACTATGTCGGCTTTCATATGAAAACCTGTTATTCTTATTTTAAATTAAATGTTCTACCTTTAAAACTTCTCTCTGTTTAGTTCCATAGATTAATCGATGAGATCTTTCCTAGAAAACAAAAATTAACTATCTCTCTAGAAATATCGAGCTCCAGTTTTTGAATAATAACAAAAGAAACAAAAATTGGAGTAAAAATTGACGAACAACCAACTTGAAGAGTATATGACAACAGCCGTTATGTAACGAAACGATACTAGAATATATCCAATACTAAGTAAAGAATTCTTGCGTTATCATGAAAAATCCTCATTTTAGATAAAACCCATTTCATCATTTTAACACTAAGTATCAAGCATACATCCGTTTGATCGCTATTATTGGTAAGTTTCTTTTATAATGCCATTTGTCTGAATTTATGCAATGATAATGATCATTATGTGTTTAGAGTCACACACAAAGAAACAATAACAGCAGTTCGACTAATAATTACATTGATTATATTCATGGAATTTTTTTGGCATTGGTCTTTACTACCGATATGTTTCCTTTTGGTAAGTGCTAATCTCAAATATCTGAATACATAAACTTTGAGATTTATACATAAAGATTGTCATCAACGTCAATTGTGAAACCGTCGATGAAATAGCAAAAATGCCACGCACTAGTTACTATTCTTTTATCCTCCACAAAACTAGACATATAGTTGAATATTTTTTCTTATAGGTAGAACTTGTAATATTGATCAATCAAATCCCATCGTAGTGCTAAGTCGTTCATCAACCATGTTCAACTGTCATATTTCGTACACTTGCTATATTAACAATTCTAACACGTTGGCTGTCTTTAGAAACGATCTAATACCAAATCAATGCAAAATAAAACTCGAGTCACGAAATATCAATAAAACGATTGTTAAACTAGGATGTGTAAATATTATAAATAATGCTGGTCGAAATTGGACATTTGTATTTGGTAGCAAGCATGGGTACAATCAATTTATCGTAAATCACACATTTACTCTTACTCTTGAACCACTTCCTCTCAAGAATCTGCCAAGTTTCGATGTAACACTTAACGAAGAACTAACATCAGCGTCGATCTTCGTACGAGATTGTGATCAAGTTACAGAAACAAAATATCTCAGCTCGCAATGCGGTATGGATCAAAATCAGCCCATATCTCTTCCCAACAACTGTGCATTTACATGCCCTGTGAAGTCAGGATCAGTTTATAACATATCAATTATTCGTCTTCCTATTCCAATGTATGATGGAGTCCAGACTGGGCATGGTGCATTTCAAATGGATCAACGAATCGAAAATATTCGTATAGGTAAAGTAGACATTTGAATATTCGAAAATATTTCCTCAATTATGAAACCTTTATCTTTATTGGAAGAGATTATGACAGTTGCTGAATGATGAAATTACTTTCTACATGGCTCCATACCAAATAGAATAGCTTCCAAAATTATTTGATAAGCTGTATTAGAGTTTCTGCATTACCCATTTTCATGAGTTAAAAAATAGACACTATAGTGAACCATCCTTTTCAGTAAGCTGACTTGATTTGTTACGATTATTGGTAAAAAGTCTAAGGATCTAACTTTCAAGTACTTTGTATTTTATACTCTCAAATGCTTTCATGATATCTTACCATCTGAAATTTCAAATTTCTCACATTTTATTTCGAAAAATATCTCATGCAATCAGCTTTTTCAATTTCTAAAACTATTCTACATGTGCACGTATTTAATTGTCATCGAAAAATTTTCTGCATTATTGAAACCATTTTAGATAGATTCTCAAACGAACGATTTTATTCTAATGATTCTTTCTTGAATACACTGTTTTGTTTTTCGACATGTCTATTTTCTTCGCTATTATAAATCAAATGAAGTGTCTATAGAGACAGGACGATTTTGAACTAATACAAACATAAACGTTTTGCTTGAGTTAATATGAGTCGTATATGCTGCTCATAGTTGTTAATCTAATAGTAGTGAATTATATGCTTTATTCAATTGTTATCAAGCAAAGGTACATATTTCACTCTTGATTGTATACATGTATGTGAATGATGACCACGACCAGTCAGAGTAAGAATAAAGCGTACAGAATCAGAAACCATCATTCTCATTCCATCTCAATATCTGCTTTCACATTGATAATCAATTTGTTTAGAATTAGTGTCCATTGTAACATTGTAAGCTATACAGCAATCATAACATGAATTGGTTATTATGTTTGATGTAATTAAGTATGATTTAGTTTTCAACGTTTGATATTATAGGTAAAGCTTGTAACAATACTCAAGCAAGTACCATTAAAGTGCTTAAACGTACAACGGCTATGCTTGTGTGCAACATCTCATACGATTGTCTAATTATTAATTCTGATAAGTTAGCTGTGTTTAAAGATGATACTATTGCAGAACAATGTACATTGAACTTGACTTATTTTCCTGTTAATGAACACACAAATGTTATTGTCACATGTATTAATATTGCAAATAACGCTGGTCGAGATTGGAAATTTGTATTTGGTAGCAAAATTGGTCACAAATCAAATGTTGTAAATGAAACATTTGTTGTTACGCTTGAACCATTTCCTCTAAATAATATAACAAGTTTGAACATGAAAACGGATGAAAGCATAACATTAGCGTCGATGATTGTACCACATTGTGACCAAATAGCAGAAATGAAATATCTCAGCTTCCGATGCGGGTTTGATAACAATAATCAACAACCTCTTCCCGACAACTGTACATTTACATGTCCTGTGAGACCAGGTTCGTTGCTTTTTGTAGGAATCATTCGCCATCCGATTCAAAGACAAAACGGAAGACCAAGCGTTAATGACACATTTACAATGGAGTCACGAGGATTCTATTTCAATATAGGTACGACAAATGTCTGACTATTTCGATATATTTTCTCACAAATGAAGTTTATTCTTATGACAAACACTAGGATTATTATTGAATCGTGAAAGATTTTTAATTACGACTCTAGTTGATATTCAGTAGCTTCCAGTGTTATACAATAAGCTACACTAGTATTTTTGTTTTATGTTTCTAAGAGTACAGCATCAGAAGGCAACATATTTTTCAATAGCCTTTACGCTATTATCCAAAGTATATTAATAGCTTAAGATGATTTATCCACATCTTAAATTACTCGATGTTTACATAATATTCTTTTTTTTTTGTTAGGATAAAAGTTTTCTGTATAAACAATATGGCATCGTATAGAGATGCTCAATCGAGCTATTTTGCTTAACTGATTTTACATAGAGTCTACAATTTCTTTTTGGATGCATGCATTCTTAGACGATTATTAAATCGAAATAATGCTTATGAAGGTGAAGCGATTTTGAATTAGTATTGACTTAGACTTGTTTCTTGTGACTGATATGAGAAGGAAGTACTGTTTGTATTCATATATTTAACCATAGTTTATGATACAAATCATCCGATATCTATAAAATAAAAATTGACGTTTCGTTCGTTAATAATACGGAAATAGTCTTCGATCTAATAGTGCTGCCATTTTTAAAGATATTTTTAAATTTGATTTGAATTTCGAACCTAGATATTCAGTAGTTATTTTATGGTAAGAATGAAAAACATTTGAATATCATTGAGAATGATAAAAGTATATTGCGAAAAATAAATTTTAAGGCATATTGATAATCATGCTTGTTTTCGCAAAGTATTGAAACTTGTAATATTAAATAGGGAACTACATTTAGGGACTTAGGCAACTTTGGATTATTTCATCGGCGAATTGTATGAAGGAATAATTTATGTAAACATTGAGGTATACATATAATATTTGGAGCATGCAAATGATTTCTTGCGAATTGATGAACATACATTGTAGTATAATCAAACGTTCCTCATATACGTTAAAGAAGATTTGTACGACACGTAAGGTGAAATACAATTTGCAAATATTCGTTTCATGCAAACTTTTATTAACTGAAGATTATGATCCAATTTAAACTAATAATGGAGACGAAGTAAACATCTACTTTAGGATGAAAGCAAAGACAAAGTGAAAAGGAAGAACTTAGATCAGTATGTAATATCGCTCTTCCATATCATGAATTTCTTCTAGTGCAGTGAAGATGTATTGTAAACTCCGAAAGATCAAACCACACACTTAAATACAAGGAATAAATTCTAGAAAACTAATACTGATAGTACTTCACCTATTACATTCTAAAGTCACAAATCACTCATACTACTTTATCTCCTATTTTGTTTTCTTCTGGTATTTGTTTGATGTGTTCTTTCTGAAAAACATCTTTCCTAACACTGCTTGTACAGAACTTATATATAAATAATGCTGGGAAACGATAAGTATGAAAAATTATAATTAGATGGAGTGTTTATTTAACTTAATATGAGTCTGTATTTGATAAGCATCTAATTTATTCATGTGTGAACTGTTTTTCCTATTAAAACAAAGTCTAAATGCTGTTGAAATTGAGTCATGGCATTCAGATGATCTGTTTCATTAGCTACAGAACTTAAGATCATTTGAATAGGCCTAGAATCAAGTTAAGCATTAACAACATGTAATTCTGAATATTATTCTCTAATATGTTTTTCCTTAAAAAAAAATACTTATATTTTTCAAATGAAGTACTCTCTGTAAATGTATTCATTTTGATTATAATACCATGGATTAATTGATAATTATTTTGTAACTACTTGATCTGAAACAACTTGGACAAACTCTTTTGTTAAAGCTTTAGATTCTGAAAATATTGTTGTTAACATTGAAATTTGGGCACCATTAATTCACGAAGTTGCAACATCATGCAGCGATGTAACTTCGATACAACATTTATCATGATGAGCTTCGTTTTTTATAACCTCGTGATACTACGTAATATTGTGATGAGTTTCATGAAAATATGTCGACATTTTTTATAGAAATTAATTGAAGTTGTCTTCACACTTTATCTACATCATATTCGAAAGCACTAATAGTCATTATTCATTCATCAGTGTATAATTTGAATTATTTCAAAATTTGTCATTCATCGAGACCACATATGAAATAATAAATGAAATTTTTTCTAATAATAAAGGGTGGTCAGAAAGTTTCGATCCCTCTCTGTAAATTGATGTTATCTGCATGAATACATATATAGATAGTTGATTGAAATATACAGTTTTGTAGAGAATGAGAAGGGCTATCATCTGAAAAAAAGAT